CAATTAAGCAGATTTTTATATTTATTTCAAATAATATCCTTTCTGAATATTAAATGATCTAAGTCAACTCTAACACTGCCTATTGCAATCTTATCCTAACTAGAAAAAAAAAAACTGTTATCAATAATAATTCAGATTTTGTTTCACAGCCTTTATTCTTAGACCTATTATTAAGAAAGAAACCAAATCCAACAATATTGAAACAAAAGCATTGAACAAAAGTGAAAGCAGGGCTCAGCTAATAGGGCAACAACAATGAAAACAATAAAACCGTATTATACTGGTCAATTGCTTTTGAGATTAGACCGTTTTAGTCTGTCCTTGGATTTATCAATAGGCTGTAATGCCTACCCATTGTGCTGGGAAAATATCAACAATAGTCCCTTTTCTTAAACAAAAGTTACATTATAAAATTATTTCAGAAAAAATTAATCACATTTGATGCATTATTAGTGATACTAAAAACGTTGTAAATGTTTTTGAACACTTAAACAATCTTCATTAACCCTTCAAGTATTGCAACACCCTTGGGGTTTTTTACCATTATAAGAAATTTTTCCTTATTTTCAAAAGTATTAGAAAATAGGTTTTAGATATTATTTTTACATTTGTAAATAAACCTTTAGTGAGGTGCAAGTATTTCTTTATTAGACCTAACTCACTCTTATTAATCCCTTATGACCTCTAATCCCCCTTACTTAAAAATAAAGTTATAAACCTTCAAAAAAATAAATAAAAATTCCCCAAGACAACAAAAAGATTATTTTACCCAATCATTGCTGTAGTTTCTTTCTATAAATTGTCCATTGTGTAATTTGTGTATACAGTAGGATTCATTTCCCATTAGTAACAGAGACATTATAACATTTCAGAATTTGGTATGTAAACCCTTCTTTAGGTAGGAACCACAATACGGTTAGTACAATAGCTATAAGCAGGAACCTAATAGATCTTGTCGCATTGTCATTGTATATCAGAGGGTTTACATGATCGCCCTCTGGTTTCTCGCTTTAATTCTTGTTTGTCCGTTTAAATTTGCCTGCTCTGAACATTGCTCTTTGTCAATATTTTATTTCCCAGAATCCAAGTTTGTGTGCTAATCTTGTTGGAAGCTCGTTCTTCCCTGAAGATGGATTCAGAATTTAGATAACACTCAAACCTCTTGTTTACTAAGCAGTGATGACCAGCTTCAATCAGCAATAGTTTTAAACATGCATTCCACAGTCATTAACAATAAACTTACCCATAATGCTGTTCTGTTTGTAAAATACTTGATTTACTATACTCTACAATGTTGGATTTACCTCACTGTCACATCAGGTAATCCGTTTGTCACGAATCACTTGTGGAGTGTTGACGTTTGAATATTTCAGTGGCGCTGCCTGAAGTGAATGTTTGCAACCTTTTGGTGTCTGCTGCTTTCAAAGTTTAACATGGCTTTTGTTGAATATTCTAACCCATCCTGGGATTGTAATGGAACATTTAAATGTTGGTAATTTCAATTGGAAAATTTACTGTAAATGCATTTCTTTTATCTTGTTATTCAGTTTTTATAATCACATAAACGTAGTGATATCAGCATATAAAACACCAAAGCCCCATGGCAATTGCAATTAATTGTACTTCACTGCTGAATTTTAAGGTGGTTAAATTTCCAATAAAAAAACTTTTCTGCAAAGAAACGGGTTTTTAACACCTAATATGTATTTAAATCTAGTTTATACCTTTCAACAGAAAGGAGCAACCCTCTTTTGTTTTTGGTATCCGACATTTTAAATCGTTATAAGAAATATATATTTAATCCTAACTGTTATATATTTTTCTTCTGTACTTTTTATAAATTATCCATGTGTTAATTATTTACAATTTTCATATCATAATATTTACTATTCAGTTATGAATAAATAATTATACAAGTTACAAGTGCTTATATTTATTAATTGGCGACGAGGATAAAAAAAAGAAACTACACTACTACCTTCAATTTTTTACATTTTATTATTTAATTACCTATTTTAATTGTTCATATCTGCACTAGTCAACTACATAATGGAAATATTACATAACATTGATTCAATAACAGATTTGAAGAAAGTACGGGCTATTGTAAAAAGGCCAGATTACAAAGGCAGACAGACTTTTAGATGATGTATCCACCATACCAACAGAAGTCTTACAAAACAGAATGGATTTATTAGAAGAAAACTGGAAAATATTTGAGGCGGTTCAACTGAAGATAGAATTGAAGTCAAAGGAAGAAGATGTTGATGAAGAAGTTAGATACAGAGTTGACATGGAAGAACGATATTACAAAGTAAAAGATCAGTTACAAATTAGAAAAACACAAATAGAACTAGAAAAAGATCTGCAACAAGGTAGTACGACCAACAGAAGTAATCATATGTACCGTTCTCTTACTTCGGCTATATCATTCACTCCTTTTCAAGACGATGAAACGTTCAAGAACTTCATCAGGCGCTTAGAGATTTTTATGCATTTACATGGACATGGACTACAGCCCAGGGACAAGGTTTACACCCTTCTTCATGCCTTGTCTCCTACCCTACATCAGAAATTGTATGATTTGTGTGCGCCTGAGAACCCACTGGATAAGACCTACTCAGATCTGGTAAAGTTACTATCAGATTATGTTGACCCTCAGCCGAGTACATGGGCACTGCAGCATAGGTTTTTATCAAGAGTACAGGACCCATCAGAATCGGTGAAAATGTATTCTGCTGAACTCCAAAAATTAACAACAGATTGTGATTTTTCATGTGAGAATTGTGGGAAAACCATAGCCAACACACTTTTACGCATGCAGTTCATCAGAGGAATTAAGGATGCTGATGTTAGAGCAAGGATACTACAAGAAAAAACAACTAAATCATTTCAAGACGTTGTTAAATTGGCAACAGCAATGGAACTAGCCAAAGACGAAAGTTCTCTGTTCAAAACATCAACGGATTTTACAAACAATACTGTTCACATGATTGGAAACAAAAAATCAAACTATATACCTAAGAAATCTCAGCCTTCACCCCTTGACAAACTGAAAGGAAGGTGCTACCGCTGTGGTTCACGGGACCATAGAGCCAACAACTGCAAGTTTGCTTCTGATACGTGTCACAAATGCAAAAAGCAGGGTCACATTGCCAGTGTCTGTATGCAAGCAAAGCAAACAAAAGTTCACCAGACTGAAGAAGATGGAAACGATAGTTGTCAAGAAGAAACTCATGAAATTTACAAATTGAACAATAGCAGTAGTGATAAAATACTTATTGATATTTTGCTAGAAGGGAATCCAGTCCAGCTGGAGCTGGATACAGGTTCAGCCATCAGCACGTTACCATATAATATGTTCAAGAAACTTAATACAAACAGAAGACTTTTCAATACACAGCTACGACTTAAAACGTATACAGGTGAATTATTCAAGCCCAAAGGCGTTGTGTTTGTTCAATGTTCATACAAAAGCCAGAGTTTTATGGGTAAACTCTACATTGTAGACGGTCACTTGGATCCTATTTTCGGTCGAGACTGGCTACGGGAAGTAGAGTTGGACTGGAAAGAAGTAAAAGCAATAAAAAAAAAATGGAGGACGTTTAGATGAACTTCTAAACAAATACAAGGATGTTTTCGAGCCAGATATAGGCCAAATACCTGATCAACTTGGCCACTTACAACTGGCACCTGACGCTCGACCAATATTTATGAAAGCAAGGCCAATACCTTATTCTTTGAAACAAAAAGTAGAAGAAGAACTAGAGCGCTTAGAAACTTCAGGAATAATAACAAAGACGGACAATTCTGAATGGGGAACACCCATAGTACCAGTAATGAAACTCAATGGTGAAATTAGAATACCTATGTGCTGATTATAAGGTTACGGTGAACAGACAAATTCAAGACGAACACTATCCAATACCGAGAATTGAAGATATTTTTGCAAATATGAGCGGTGGCAAGATTTTCTGTACTCTGGACTTAAAAAAGGCTTACTTACACCTACAAATGGATGAAGCAAGTGCTGACATACAAACCTTAAGTACACATAAGGGACAGTTCAGAGTTAATAGACTCATGTTCGGCGTTAAAGTAGCTCCTGGAATTTGGCAAAGAATCATGGACAAGGTCTTAATGGGTATAGAAGGCACTCAATGTTTCTTCGATGACATAATCATCCAAGGAAAATCAGAAGAAGAGTTGCTCACTCGGTTGGAAATGGTACTTCAGAGAATAAAAATGAACGGACTAAGAGTAAATAGAGATAAATGCAAGTTTCTACACAAACAAATTGAGTACTTAGGTCACACTATAGATGCCCACGGAATCCACAAATCAGAAGATAAAGTTAAGGCTATCAGGCAAGCAAGAAGACCCCAGAATGTTAGTGAACTAAGAACCTTCTTAGGTCTTGTCAACTATTATAACAGATTTATCGAGAACCTGGCAACAATTCTCAATCCGTTACATGGACTACTGAAAAAGGAGAAGAAATACAAGTGGACAGATCAATGTGAACAAAGCTTTCAGAAGGTCAAGGAGATCATTACAAATGAAATTGTCCTTACTCATTTTGATCCAGTCTTACCTTTGGTATTGGCAACAGACGCATCTCCGGTGGGACTTGGTGCAGTACTGTCACATAGATTTCCAGATGGAAGTGAAAGACCCATAGTCTTCGCTTCAAGAACACTGACAAAACCAGAAGAGAAATATAGCCAAATTGACAAAGAGGCCACTGGAATTTATTGGGGACTAAAAAAGTTCTTCCAATATTGCTATGGACGTAAATTCATCCTGGTAACGGATCACAAGCCATTAGTTACAATATTCAATCATAAATACAAGCACTTGTAACTTGTATAATTATTTATTCATAACTGAATAGTAAATATTATGATATGAAAATTGTAAATAATTAACACATGGATAATTTATAAAAAGTACAGAAGCAAAATATATAACAGTGGTCTCCCCCTAACAATGGCCTCCCCTTAAACTTTCGTACGCAACATTTGATCAATGTGGCGTCTCCAAATTTGTCCATCGTCCATCTTGATAAAATAGTGAACATGACCGTCTCTACTTTGGACATTTCCGTAACCCCATTTACATTTGCCGGAATAGTTCCGTACTTGTACTCGTTCGCCTGGTTTGAAATATCTCACTATTCCTTTGGGTTGTTTTGTTTCTTCCTTTGTCTTAGGCAAGAGTAAACTTAAGTATGTTCGGATCCTTCTATTGAACATCAAGAAGTATGAGCTGTTACCAGTTGAATTCGGAGCTTGACGTAGTTTCATCAGCAGTTGGTGAAGCTTTTCTTCCAGTGTACCAGGTTCATCTGACATGCAGTTGATAAGTTTCTTTATCGTTTGTACGAAGCGTTCGACTTGGCCGTTCGAAGAAGGATGGTAAGGAGCTGTCATTTTGTGCAAAGTTCCACATTTCTTCAAAAAGTTACTAAATTCAGAAGAGGTGAACTGACGACCATTATCAGAGACTATAACACTTGGTAGTCCAAAGGTGGTGAATATTTTACGCAGCTCTCTGATTGTCCATGAAGATGTAATACTCTTCGTAGGTATGACTTCAACCCACTTGCTGAATGCGTCTACTACCAACAGAAAGTAATTTCCGTTGGTCGGCCCAGCAAAATCTATGTGGACCCGCTCCCATGGTTCACTTGCTGGCTCCCAGGGATGGTTAATTTCTTTCTTCGGTAAATTTTGTTTTTCCCTGCACTGTCTGCATTTTGAAATGTTATCTTCTATATCTTTGTCCAAACCTTTCCAGTAGCAAAAGCTTCGTGCTAAGGCTTTGGTTTTTACCATTCCTAGATGACCAAAATGTAGTTCTTCGAGGACATGTTTTTGTAAAGATCTAGGAATCATTACTCTCCAACCTTTCATGATACAACCATCATGTAGACCTAGCTCACCGTCATGATAACCATGGTGCTCCAGCGATTTTCCAGTTTCCAAAGCTAGTAGCAAGTGTTGCATGTTTTCATCCTTTTTCGTTTCTTGAGCAATTAGGTTATGGTTTAGGTTGATTGTTGCAATTTGGTTCATATAGAAAACATCAGTCTGGTCCATGCTGGTATTTGAATGTTTTTCAATAGGGAATCTTGAAAGGAAGTCCGCATTTCCATGATCATTTGTTCGTCTAAACTCTATTTTGTAGTCAAAACCTGATAAGAAGTGTGAATAGTTATTATATATTTTGCTTCTGTACTTTTTATAAATTATCCATGTGTTAATTATTTACAATTTTCATATCATAATATTTACTATTCAGTTATGAATAAATAATTATACAAGTTACAAGTGCTTGTATTTATTACTAACCATATCCTAATGTCGAACGGACACATGATCCATAGACATAAGATTATTCTTGAAACCTCACCAGCAATATTGCTACTAAATACTAACTAACCTCGTGGATATAGACAAGATTAGTGGTCAATAGACAAGATTAGTCGGGTCAGTTCAGTAGTACAACAGTAAAATGATCACAATGGATAGCCAAAATGAACCAGTTTGAAACACTATTTAGCACTATAATACTAATAAGTAATACGATACTCTTTTATAGCCACACTAGGCTTCATAAGATACACTTACATGCTTCTATATACAAAAGTGTGCTTACTAAAACGGATCCCCACTACTATCTTATTTTTCTCAGTTTAGTCATGAAATATTGTTAATAAACAAGAAATGAATAAATAATAGATCTTATGATTCTAGTAAATAAATGATTTTTCAATGAAACGGCGTTGCGTATTTTAATAGCCGAATTCGTTACTTTGCCGACCTGAAATATTACAACCCAACCAAGAAAAGGAGCATTTTTGTTTTCCAGCCATAAATATATCAACGTGATTTGGTGTATAGTTTTACCCAACCGAATCTAACCAATCCTAACCTACCACAACTGAGTTAAAAAAGATAATGGTAATACAAGATAACCAAACAGATAATAGCAACTAATTACCGAAAAAAAGCAACGGAAAAAATGTTTGTGAACAAAAGTTTTCTGAAAGTTTAGTTAATTGGTACATGTTTTACTAGTCTAGCAGTAAGCGTCATATACTTCGGTGAGAAGAACGAGTTTGATTTCCGGTATATCATCAAAAATATTAGGGTTTTGGACTACTTTCCATTTAAACTGTTAGATATTCTTCTATAAAAATATTCCTGGAGTAAACGCCTTAGTCTGTGTGATGTTCCTAGCCCAACCTAATCTAACCTAACCTAACCTAACTTAACCTAACCTCACCTAACCTAACCTAACTTAAAACCTAACCTAACCTAACCTAGCCTTTCCTGACATAACCTAACCTAACCTTACCTAACCTAACCTCTTCCCTGACCTGCCTACGACTGGGCCGGACCTCAAATCAAAAATCATTCTACTGCAGGTAGACGAGTCAAGAGACAGGCTCCATTATATAGACTTTATAAAAATTCTTTCCTTTGTATTACACATCTATTATAGCCTAATCTATTTTATGTGAAGTAGTGGTGAATGGTGCCCGACTGCTGACAATATTGATGTGTAATGTTAGACAAGTTAGACAACTATAATCAACTTCGTCTCACTAAGTGTCTAAGGAGTTTGGGCAGCACATTAATCAAACATATCCGCCAAACTTCAGGATCAAATCAAATGGTCTGCTACTGTTTTGTATGGTTATTAATGGTTAGATTACAGTCCGTACGGTGGTTCATGATTGCCTTACCATTTTGTCTTTGGTACATTTCATTTGTCATAATTATATTATTGTAGTAAGAAATTTTAAACTTGCATAAATACTATATATTCTAGATTATGTCAAATTAAATATAGGAATATTAAATTATGTACGCATTGTCCACTCTAATTACTTTGTCTCACTCCAGATTTGCAACGTGAAGGAGCGTTTCTTTACCAATTTATTTGTTTTATGGTCACTGTAGGAAAAATATAATGTGCAACTCGAGTGCAAAGTGCAAGTGAGGCAATTGCTTACTTTGCTCACTAGCTGCACAAATAACTTCATATTGATGTTATTTGGTTCAGGATCACTTCTTAAATATTATAATGGTATAATATTACCTGTTTCCGTCTGTGATCCTACATTTGTTGTATAGAGCAAGCGGTTTCGAGGTTATAATCTCATCTTCAGGCTCTTGTTGTCACTCTTGCAAGATCGTCGAGTTTTATAAACACACAAAAACTAACATTTTTTCCCCCAGTCATGAAAAAACGTCTGCCCGTGCCGCGTCGTGTGTGGAACTAGTTCCCGAATTTATGTTAATCGTCTTCGTCTGTCAATGTCTCGTGTTTATTTATTTAAATGTTAGTTTTTGTGTGTTTATAAAACTCGAAGATCTCGCAAGAGTGATAACAAGAGCCTGAAGATAAGGTTATAACCTCGAAACCGCTTGTTCTATACAACAAATGTAGGATCACAGACGGAAACGGTAATATTATACCATTTTAATGCAAAAATAACTATTTTCGAGAGTTCGAAATTAATTATAGACAATTTAATTAATGAGCAGGAGAATTTACGCTTAGTTTACGCTAAGTTATCAGAAAGTTGTTACCAATAAGATTTGTGATGGTCTAAAGATAGATACAGTTGTCCTTATTAGACTAATTAAGATTTTGTAAATACTCCTTCCTATGGAACCAGCCAATTATGGTCAGTGAATAAGCTACTATTACATTCCTTAAGCTTTCGCCATCCACTTACAATACATACCTTGGTGTTTTGGCTACGTATAACTTCAACCAAACAGAATGGAATTAAAGGAAAACCTTTCCGGCTACACAGTGATTCAAACTGTTCAGATTTAGATTTCAACGTTGTGAAGACCATACCTGAGTATAATGAAGGCTATAATATTTTTAAATGGAACGAAAAGTTGTTAGTTGATTAACAACATACCTGGCTATTCCACTTTGCACTACAGTTGCCTAGATAATCCTGCTTATAGAAGTGAAAACGTGTGTTTGTCATACAGGATTGCAAAAACTACTTTACTGATTGAGCTTAACTAGACCACATAACTTGTTTCATAGCTGCAGGGCCAATTAATTGTAACATATACATAGTTTATTACTTACCTAAGCTCGTTCATAGTAAACTATCATTAAAACGTAGCTTAAATATAGTGATAGTTTAAGCTATAATTTGGTGCACAGTATAAATGTTAACAGTTGCTTAATATTTACAGTCAAATATTGTCCTTTATGTCACTTCCGCCTATTGTTTGTTTAGTTTTATACTCCTAATGAAATATTATGCTGTACTATATTTACAGTTTTCAAGCTTTGCCTTGGTAGTAAAATTACTAAAATACGTTTAAAAAGTGTTAAATTTAAACTCTTATTACCAACGCTCTATGTTTTAGGTTTTAATAATTTTCCCTACTTCTCAATTGACTGGTCAAACCTTCTTCAGCTAATTTTAGAAGTTCAATCAATTTTGCTTAACCAAAGCAATCGCATGAGTTAATTGCCATAACAAAAATGTAGCTTGGATTCAAGATATGTAATTGTTTTTATTAATTTTGATCACCTGACAGCTGGACTACTGGTTATTAGTGGAAAATTTTTGATTAATAAAGTACTGGAAAAATGAAATGAATATGATATTTTACACAATTATTTTGAAAGAAGATGTTTACGACTGTACACACATACTTTGAAAAATTATATAGGCCTACATTTATTCTGATTTTAGCTGCTGACCAAAATACACTTAATGTTGTATAAACAGTATATATTTAATAAGTTGGAAGATGCTATTTTTAACAATAACTGTAGTTATCTCTTAAGTTGAATTCATGATTTGAACTTAAATTTTTGTTATTGTATGACATATTTTGATCAAAGAATCAATACTATTCTGTTATCATATAATCATTTTCAATCGCGACTCTTCTGAAAAAGAACCTAGATGTTAACCTTCTTTTAAACACATGATGTATGATTCGAATACATTATAATAAACAGAGAATAGCTTAAAAACACTCAACACAATTTATAGTCAGAAACTAACGATTATGCTTAGTGGTTTTATATTTATTAATTTTGTTACCTATAATTCTAATTATTCGTTAGAAATACATTATGGCGTTGTTTGATTATAGATGAACTACCTTGTTTCCAGACTGCTTTAAATTCTGAGACTTGTCTTGAATCAAACTGTTTGCCTAGCTAGTAAACCATCAGTTAAACTTGTTTCCAAGTTTGATTATATAGTTAACTAATTGTAATTTGTAGTTTCCTTAAGTTTTCAGTTGGTAAAGATTGATGATTGGTGATTGGTTTGATTTAATATTGTTGGTTGTTTAAGGATTAAATTTGAAGAATGTTTTATTTTAAATTGTTCCTACGTTTCGAAAAGATTTAACTGCAAGACATACATAATATTAACGGTAATCATAACAACTGCTCCTAATGATTTGTTTGAAAACAATTAAAATGTATACAATTGCCTTAAAAATAGATTCAATATTCCTATTAGGTTCTTATAAGTGACCTTAGAAATATTTTAACTGGACAACCATAAGTTTTTAGACGCTTGCTTGTCCATTGGCGCTTAAGTTAAAGGAAAAGGGAAAATTCGTAAACACACTATAAACTAGAAGATAATCATCTAGTCAAAAATAACACACTCAAACATAACCCACATACTTCAAACAAAAGAGGACTTATTTTACATAAGTCCAAAAGGACATATTTTACAATCGGTTGAGAAATCCACTCATACTATTTAAAGCCAATAGAATAAAGAAGTATATTAAAACTACCTCATAATGTTAGAATGCGA